TAATGTGGAGGGAGAGTTCTGTCCTGTCAGACTGAGAGGCTCAGTGAGGTAAAGGACTCTGAGGGTTTAGATAGTTCACTTTAGTCTAAATTATCTCAGTGAGTCTCAAACGTATTGATCACAATTATGTAAACAAATATTTCCAAGGCACACCTTTATAATTATTAGGATAAATAATAACAGGTTTGAAATCATTCCAATGTATACATAGGACAGTAAACCAAAAATATCGTTTAAAACTGGAGAGATAAAATCTCGCTTAGGGCAGCAAATTGTCTAGAGCCGGCCCTGGATAGATAGATATGCTATTTTGGAATTAATTGAATTTTCAAGTCGGTTAATGGCTTCCATAATCAGGAGATGCAATGTATTACATGATGGTTAAATATTTGCAGTAGTTTGGCTTTGTGCAGCGTTGACTAATACAATGCTATGATGTACAGACATCATGCCATGCTTATCTCTTCCCGTTCCCAGCTCTGTGTGTCTGTCTGCTGTCAGCTGATGCGAGTGTCAGCAGGAATCAGCCGCAGCTCATTGGTCGCGCTTCATTTGCACGGTCACATGTGCGCGTGTGTTTAGTTTCACTTCCGCACTACTGCTGTGTGTACCTCGTTAGCCTCTTGGATGCCCTTCTTTCACACATTTTTGAGAAAAAGCGCGTTTAATATCGAGGAAAGAAAAAGCGTGCAGCTAAACACGTTACTTTTAGATGTGATGAGTTCATGCATATTTACTTTATTATTTTCTGCATAGCAACACAGCAGCTTTATTAAGTGAACCAGGAAGCGACGTTAGCGAGAGGAAGCTCATCAACGTTGGCTACATGTTTAAACAAAGCTGTAACTAACAAAGAAGCTGTGCCCGCTTGTTTACAATAGAAGAAGTCATGAAGGTAGGTGCACTATGTAGCCACTGTAACACTTTGTTTATTTTCGGAGGCATCTTTGTAACGGACTGTGTTTCCTCTGGAAAGTGTTTGCCTCATGCGCACATCAACAGACATTTTGCATGCACATGACGTTATCTAAAATATGTCGATTTACAACCTAATTACCCAATTACACGATCAGTTTATAATTTTCCTATGCTACAGGGCGTTTTTGTCCAGGATTAAACAACAATTTCTTCCGTGTTGGTTTTTTGTCCAGGAAACAAATAAATGACCATGCCAACCAAGTAGTTCAGTCTTTATAAAGCCGTGTAACATGGCTATTATAATTTCCCAGAACCCACCATAATATATTCAAATAGTTTGTACTATTAAACAAACAGTGTAAACATGGGTCAAATATAAGGTATGACAAATACGTGCAGTAGCCTATACTTTTGCAAATGTAATTGAAGAACAACTTGCAATGTTTCATCTGATTTTCAAAAGGTTGCCTATCAATCTTCTGTCAATTGACTAAATAAACTGCTATTTATAGTATAATGTTACTGTGTTATAGTATAAAGCATTGCAACATATGGTCGAGTTTCCATTTTTTCAGATTTTATATTATCTAAAGCTTATTTCAAATGAATAATAACACATGTTAATCATTTCTCTCATGTGGACATCTGCCAGGTGGTGTACAGTCACGATGGAGGGCCCTTCCTGGTGTGGACCCTGGTGGTTCAGCTGGTGATCCGTGGCAGTGGGGTCTACGCCACTAACGGCACAAAGAACTGTAAACTGTTAACAGAGTCTGCCTCAGAACGGGAAGTCCTCAATCGAATAGAGCCACTCGCCCATAAAAAGTAAGAAGTGACTCAACTGTAAAACGAGACATTAAGCAACATCAATATGACTTTTTATATTTGTTGGATTGCCTGTAATCAATCAAACATTTAACTTCTTGAATATGCAAACCAATCATGTTAGAAACATTTGGACTGATTAATCCGTTTGAGATGTTATTAATTGTTTATTAAATGTTTTCTCATGTTGACAGCTTTACAGCAGTGACCAATAATGGAAGTGAGAGTTACACATATGTGTTCCAGTTGTGCGGGGACGCGGGGGGGATTCAAGGAGCTGGAGTTGTTCAGTTCGAAACCAAGAAGATGAAAGCGACAGTGATTGGCATGTATAATGCAACGCAGGTCATTGGAGGAAGTAAGTCCCAAAACATAATAATTACACCCTTATTTATCCTGACTGTGTAAATGTTAACCATTTGTGAATTGGAAGGTTGGACAATTGCATATGACCAAAAATGCTTAAGATTTGTTTACTCATGGGATAAACCATATTTCTCTGGGTGATTTAGGTCTGCATTCTCTGTTTTGACACTTTGCTGCCATTGCAGGTGACTGGGTGATATTGTTCTACAGAAATGGTGAAAGCTATGATGGCCACTGCTCCAAGGAAATGAGAAAAGCCATGATCATGATCTCTTGTAACAGGGGAATAAGTTCGGTAAAAAAAATGCAAATTTGTACATCACCAAACATGTGAGAAATGCTTTGCACTATGTTTAAAACACAAATGCCGGGATCGGGGTGGCTATTTATTAGGTATCCATTGGATACATGATCAAGGAAAACATAAACACATACTCCACACAGACTTATAAATTATGCTATGGCACAGTGTTTTACAACTGCTGCAGTACCCTTTGTTTTCACAGCGCTACCAATTGGTCTGAAAATTGCCTAATGTTAGCTCCATTTCTCTTCTTTTTTTTTTATTGTGTGAGACCTATAGACTATTTACCTTTGTGTGTCTTTTACCATCTCACACCCAGGACCAGATGAAGGTGGCGCTGGAAGTCAGGCAGAGGAAGGAGGACTGTTTCTACCTGTTTGAGCTGGACTCCAGTGCAGTGTGCCCCCCTCTTGAGTCCCACCTCAGCACTGGCTCCATAATACTCATCATGTGCGTAAATACACTCTGTAATGACACAAAACCCTTATGTCAAAGCATGTAATATTATGAATGAATAGTAATTATAGGCCCTCTCTTCTTCCAGTGGTTTCTGTCTTCTTTCTGTGTATCTCCTCGGAGGATTTCTCTACCAGCGACTGATTGTTGGAGCCAAAGGAATGGAGCAATTCCCAAATTATGCTTTTTGGCTGGAGGTTGGCAATATGACAGCGGTAAGCCTACTATGATTGATACATAACGTCATTAAAGGGAAAGTTTGCCACCTTTTTATGGGGAGTTTGAAGTCAATTGAAGCAACACATTTCTTACTGTGTGTTATATTGACTGAGAGAATATTTATGTGCCTACATGTCCCAGAATGCATTGCGTTCAGGTATCCTTTGCCTCTACAGCTTTGCAGGCTATATCCTTGTCTAACAACTAATGCAGACATGGACGTATACTCCAGCTAGAATACATTTGGCTGAATATCCTAGTCACCCAAAACACTGTTAAATATATCCTTGTCTATAACATCCTTTGCACATTCATCTGTCAGTAACATAGCCAATCTGCATTGCAAGGGGAAATGGTTATATTTCAAAGCGGCCTTAAGTGCATTCATGTTCCCTTTCTGGACGGAGACAGAGACAAGAAATCCAAACTGAAATAGCATGCAGTTCTTCCTTGCGTCCAACTACGTAGCATTCATGTGAAATGACGTAGTTGCAGTTGCAAACGTGGATTTCCCAATAAATTAAGCATGTTGAGAAACGTGTTTCTTCAATCAACTTAATTTACCCTCACTGTAAGGGAAACTTCTGTAGCAATGGAAAGTCAGGACTCTGATGCCCCTTTCACACCAACGCGTTTTCAGCGCCGGCTCGGAGCTAGAGCCTGAAAAGTACCGTTTTTTCCTGTTCACACCGCAGCGGCGCCGCCTCTTAGCTCTGGAATCCGGTTCACTTCCAGCTCCAAAAAATTGTCGGTCTAGAGGCAAGAGCTTCGGAGCTAAGAGGCGGCGNGAGCCTGAAAAGTACCGTTTTTTCCTGTTCACACCGCAGCGGCGCCGCCTCTTAGCTCTGGAATCCGGTTCACTTCCAGCTCCAAAAAATTGTCGGTCTAGAGGCAAGAGGCGGCGCTGCTTACGTCTGTCTTACGTCGAGGCGTGCAGGAAACTAAACCCACCTCCCCTGAACATGGGTCGACTGAAGAGTCTCGTCATGCCTGCCTACAAGCAGTCGCGCTGAGTAAAGTGACTAGAAGGCAACCACACACTTATAAAAAAAAACACTTTATAAAGTCAGGCAACACTAACCAGGCTTCGTGTGATTCTATTTATTTGTACCTTACTTTGACCACCCGTTCACTGTTATTGATCATTGTGGAGAGCAGGCAGACGTTTTGTTTTTTATTATAGCAGCTATCGGATGGAATCCATACATGGGCTGCGCAGGTTGAAAAGTTATAAGGCTGGAGAAGTCGTTATTTAATTTAATCTGGCTTTGCTTTAAAAGCAACACGATCATCGACCCGACGCAGTCCCCCGTTGTTGTTGTTGTTGTGAGCGCCGTTGGGGAGCAAATCAGCGATGTAAACGGTGACGTCATGACGCAGCAGCGGCTGCACCATCCCGGCTCTGAGTGGTGTGAACAGAGCGGGAGCAGAAAAGGGAAACCGGAGCTGAACCAGAAAAGCTCTAGCTCGGAGCTAGAAAGAGAA